ATAATAAGGGTTAATACAAATGTACTGTACTATAGATGGAGAAGGTACGGTACTTTGAGAGTTTGACAAACGGAATTAATGACAGAATTGTAGATTTAAATCTGATTGTTTCTGATGGTGTGAGAAGAGGAGAAGTTATAGTAGAATATACTTATTACAAAAATATTGTGTTAGTAAATATTGTTTTTCATATTCTGTATTCTATCTTATTTATTTTATTTTCAGAAGTTTCAGACACTTCAAGGGTAACTAGTGGGCAAGAAGACTCTGGTACAGAGGTTCAAGATATGAAATCACTATTGGATCGGATCAGGCAGCAAAGACGTGATATTCTTAAAAGTATATATGGTGTCATACCTGAAGAGGAAGAGGGATCAGAAGAAGTTTTTGGTAAAGATGACAAACCCTTCGATGAACATAAAACTGAACTTGTTAGAAGAGGTGTAGAATCAGATGCTGACCATCCTCAAGCAGAAATTATTTCACAACATGAGGATGTTGTTCATAGTGGAGACAATAGTGAAGAAAAGTACAGGTACAGAAAATTAAGGCCACATACTGCAAAAGACAGAGATATACACATGGCAGAAACTGTTCCTGTTCATCTAGTGACAGACTTTCATGATCGCAGATTTATTAGTAAACAAGCCTCAGCCAAACACTCAATTCAAGATTCGAATTCAGGTGATAAGGAGATAACAGTTGATGAAAGAGTTGATGAAGGTAGTGTGGAAACACAAACATCAGACGATGAACATGTAATACCTTTGTCTCCCATAATACACCCATTTACAAGAGATAAATTCCCAGCAGAGCAGTCGGGTTTTGAAACCAGCAGCACAGAGTACTTGAAACCACCATCAACTCTTCCATCAGGAACCCAGCGTAAGAGGCAATATATAAATTCCACCCCTTTCAGCAGAGATGATCAAGATATACATATGGCAGAAACTGTACCTGTTAATCTATTACCAGGTTATGATGATGTTAGAAGTACCACTATACCCAAGAAGAATGCATCTCAACCAACCTCTTCTGAAGAATCAAGTTTGGATGACATTATAATGAAGATAAAAAGTGATGGTCATAGAAGCTCACTAGAAACCTTTACTCCCTCAGAGGAGGAGTCTTCAAAGTCTCTGTCATCCATCAGTGCCCATTTATTGCCAGATAAACATCTAATTGATTATTCAAATTCTGGAATCAGCACCACAGACTACATCAGTCCCCCATCATCACTTCCAAAAACTAAAGTATCAGGTTCCTCACTAGATGATGATTTAAGGAGGATTCAGCAACAGAGAGAAAGTATTCAGCATAAATTAGATTTATTATCAGACACAGCAAATCAACACTCAGGTCAAAATGCTTATTTTGAAAAACTCAAGGAAGAGGGTAGTGGGAAAAGGCCACTGAGAAGGAAAGATAAATTTGAAATGCAAAGAAAGGAGATTATTCATTGCTACTTAAGAAAGTTGATGCATTTGAAGGGGCCTGAGTTAGAGAATATGTCAGCATTAACAGTTGAAGGCTCTGGATTTACTCTCAGTTCCCTGAATACACTTGTTGATTCTCTCCAGGAGAAAGATGAGTCAGTACTTACAGTTTCATCTCCAAATCCATCTTCATCTGTCAGGGAATTAGCAGAATCAAATAATAATTCTAGTTATAAAGATATTGATGATGTTCCCGTGAAATTAAGTAGCCTCTCATCTGAAAATAAATACTCCTGCAGTGATAGGAAGAAGAAAATTCTCTTATCAGTAAGCCACAACAGGTAGACAGACTCATGCATACGCTTTCTGTTACACATTCTAAAGATGAATCAGGAAGAGTTAATGGCTTTCCAGGATACTTGCAGCTAAGCAGAAAGACCTCTCCACACATAGTACTTCCATTAGACTCACAATATGAAGAATCAGGTTCATTATTGTCCTCCAGAAGTGGTAACAGTATTAAAAAAGAGCTGCAAAAACTTGAAACATCTTAGAAAAGAACTCATAACTGATACCTCAAGTTCATTTCTTTCTATTGGGCCAGAAGTAATGGGCACATCACCAACCACTAACAGTATTAATAAGCAAGATCAAAAACTCTCATTTAGGTAAGTTAGCAATGTTGCACTTTATTTTAAAAATTTTGTAGATTAAATTTTTGATGGAAAATTTATTTTTAAGTTTATAAGATTCATAGTCTTGAATTGTTGACATAATACTAAGTAACCTTTTAAATATTTGGCAAAATATGATATAAACAAAAATCATCCTAAATTTTATTTTGTAAGGGGAAAACCTGTTTCTCGTTGTAAATCAGCCTGTGTGGTGTCATCAGATATTTTGCTTTTAAGCCAGTGAAAGACCTTAATACAGAGAAGTGGATCAGCCCTCCTACAGGTTTGACCCCTGAGGGTTTAGTGTTTAACAATGCATATAACAATAATAGTAGTATTGTACTGTTAATGTATATTTTTGTACCTATATATCTGTTTTCTTTTTCTTTTTAGTAGGCTATACAGGAGAAGGGGTTGCTAGCTCATTGCTCCCAGCATTTTAGTTCAACACGCATGGCTTACGGAGGAAAGATTCTTATTCCACTTTTCCATGGATTTTTTCAGTTAAAAAAAGAATAGGGAGTTAATAGATGGGGAGCTGGAGGTATTGGGAAAATGGAGGGAATGTTTTGAGGAACTTTAAACCCCTAAACGATCCAAACGTATTATATACATTCTTTACGCTAGTGCCCCAAACGTATATATGCATTTTATTTTTCCTGCCTCCAAATTTGGCATGATTGGCCTGAGATGCCTGGTCACCATAGTATGGGTCTTAACACTCTGTGTGCACCATATTAAAAAAATCTGGGATCACTTTGTACCTTGTGGGAGTGCCAGTTAAATTGAGCAACACTCCAAACACCAAGGATTCAATGATTTCATGTCATATTAACACTCCCCTTTTAAGAGGAAAGTGATGTTGACCCCAAGTTTAGTGGTTTGAGGTGGAAGTGGCCATAAGTGGAGGAGAAAATATCAGAAACCTCGATAATAACCCGTGTGCAACATTTGTGCAACATCCTTTCAGAATGTCTTATAACCTATGCCCTAAGTAAAGAGAAACAATTCTGGAACGTGTAATAAGTGTTCGGCAGGCTGGCTGGCTGGCTCTATCTCCATCTGTCTGTCTGTTTGTATCTATGTCTATCTCTGTCTATCTTTGTCTACCTCTTTCTATCTCTGTCTCACAGGTACACATAAATACAATTATACATAGTGTAAATTACCTAGGATAATCCAAAAACTCCTGAAGTGCTATACTATGCTTGTAGATATAATGCATAAGAATATCTGTTGGTTCACAGTGGCTCTCTCTGAGACAGAGAGAGAGAGAGAGACAAGCAGAGAGATGGAAAGAGAGACAAGCAGACAGAGACAAGACAGACAGACAGATAAGCAGAGGCAGAGATGCTGACACTCATCAAATGTCACCCCTTATCTCATCACTGCACCCTCCTCTTCTTCTTCGTCTTTGTCTTCTTCTTCTTCTTCTTCTTCTTATTATTATTATTATTATTATTATTATTATTATTATTATTATATACTCCCATGTATCCAAAACTGCTGGAACCTATAAATGTTTGTATATATTCCTAGATAATAGTAAATGACTAAGGCAGGTCATTTACTATTGTCAGGTTTTATAGGTTTAGAATGTAGATAAAAGAGGCTCGACTCAGTGTAAAATTCAACTTATTGTATTTCATTATATTATACTCTGTATTTTTATGTTTTAGATTAAAATTAAAATCAGTGAAATATTTTTACTTTTCTTTATTATTACAGGAGCACACAGAAAACTGATCTCAGTACAATTTATGAAGACAGTTCAAACTTGTCTGACAGTAATTTTAACATGAGTGGCTCAGCTAACTACCATACACCATCCAGAGAAAATGAATCTTCACTGGATGATGCAGGAAGTCAAATTTCATTGATCCAGAAACAAAATTTGAGAACATGGTCCAAGTCATCAGGTACCACATCAGCGAGCGATGTTTCTTCATCAGAGGAGGCAGCTACAGAAGATGATAGGAAGAAATTCACATACATGCATACAAAAAGGACTTATCAATCTAGGTTCCAGCATTTTAAATACACCACACTTAAGAGTAGGCTGAAAACATTAACCCAAGATTACCAAGGTTCAGATGATGGTAACCTTGTGCCACCATTCCTAATGACTGAGACACCTAAGAATAATATGAGGAGCATCTCTTCCTTGCCTGCCACTGAGAGTACTCCACTAGAAGTACAAGGTACTGAAGGTTTAGAACAAGAACATATACTGCCTTTGACAGCTGATACCTCAAGTTACTTTCCTTTAGCTTTGTCAAGTACTACATTAACTTCTTCAGTGGAAGACTTATCCCTTATACATCAGAGCCCATATAGTAGGAAGGATGACCAGGATAAAGTTTCTTACAAAGTTTTAAGCATCTCATCTGATGAACAAGATGCAAAGCCTAAGAGTGATATATCTAGTGATTCATCAACCTCAATGCCTGACATGGCAGTAATTTTACAGAGGTTTGGTTTGGACTGGGCCCAAAGTATGATGCATAAAATGGAAATAGCAGAACAGAAGTCCTCATCAGATAGCTCATCTGGTCAGGAAAAATAAAATATGATAGTTTAGTTCAGTCATTATGGCAATATGTGTATATAAGTTTGATGTTGAACCTTCAAATTATACAAAATAAATGCTGTTCCACTTTGGTACTTTATACATACCATGTTGAAGTGACATTGCATTTTTATGTATAGTACCTAGCGCTGTATAGCCCTTGTGGCTTAGCGCTTCTTTTTATTATAATATATAATAATATATAAGTATCTAATACATTCTGATTTATTCTTAACCTTTTATTATTTTGGTTGGGAAATGCTTAATCTTTTCTTGCTTCAATTTATTTTTCCTATAGCATTTAACAGTTTTCTATTTTTCCTGAAAGCTCTTGTTCTCTCAAATATGCACTAGCTTTAGGTCCAATCATTTAGTCAAGAACTAAGTTTATGCCCTTGATATTGGCACTGTCATTCTACTTCATTAAGTTTTGACACCCGAAGTTCTTACATCAACTACCATATTATAGCATTCTTAGAGTAATTGTGTTTCCGAAGTGGGACCATATCTCCACTAACTTATAAAAATCATCTGATTTATACTATATTTATGACAATAATAGAGGATATAAACTCTGTAGCTTCCTATCTCACTGGATCTCAAATAGTGAGCCCCAGACCCATAATGGATTGCCTTGCAAATATGTGTTCCAGCTTCTTTACTGTGAGTGAGCAAATTTCTCTTCAAAAAACCTACCATAGTCCATAATTGTTTGTGTGTATGGGAAGAGCTAAACCTGTAGAAGCCATACAATGCCTGGAGAATGGAATGCAATCAAGTTTTGATCTAAGGAGGGGAGGACAAGTTCATTTTACTTGGATCAAGAGCCCTCAACAGCATCAAGGAATCTTAAGAGAATTGTACTATGGTGCCCATGCTAACATTCCTATGGTGTATAGAAATATATCTAGTATGGTGAATCTTATTCGGCCAGTATGGTCCAATAATTAGCAGAGGGGGCCTGTGAGTTTTAGTTTTCTCACTTGCCATGGGTTTACACCCCCACCCTTATTTGATTTCTTTGCAATCATGTTGTTGTGATTTCACGAATCACATATATGCTGCACTGTGTATACAGTTCCTTCCCCCTTTTTCTCTCATGGCAGTGAGTGGTATGTATACAGAGTTTAATGTTAAAATATTCTGACTGGTGATGTACAGATGAACTTTAGCCTTCGTACTCTAATGTAGTGATAGCCTTCAAAACCTAACAAACCAGGACCTCATCATTAGTGAAGGATTCTTCTCATCAAATGGATTTGAGCTGATTTATTGCCTCCCTTTTCTTGAATCAATTGTGATGATTTTTGCAATGTGCCAATGGCCAGTGACTTGGACCCCGATTAAAGGTGTGGGGTGGAGAATTTCAGTGAATCTGTTCATGCTTTCAAATCCCAGTTGAAAACACATCTCTTGTCTAGTGCTTATGATTTCTGATGATCATACTGTCACTCCATAATCTAAACTTTAGTATTACTTCTTCTTGTTGTTGTTTCATTTTTGGCTTGGTTTGTAAGCACTTGTGAATTTTCTGGAAAAGAATAGGCCCCTAAAAAATAACAAAACTCCAAATTATTATTTCTTCTCTTTCAACAAACGGGTGTATCCCACCAAGGCAGGGTGGCCCAAAAAAAAAAAAAAAAAGTTTCTCTTTTAAATTTAGTAATTTTACGGAGAAGGGGTTTTCTAGCCCCCCGCTCCCGGCATTTTTAGTCGCCTCTTACAACACCATGGCTTACGGAGGAAGAATTCTGTTCCATTTCTCCTGGAGATAAGAGGAAATAAACAAGAACAAGAACTAGAAAATAAATAGAAGAAAACTCAGAGGGGTGTGTATATATATGCTTGTACATGTATGTGTCGTGTGACCTAAGTGTAAGTAGAAGTAGCAAGACAACCTGAAATCTTGCTGTTTATGAGGGCAGAAAAAAGACCCAGTAATCCTACCATTTATGTAAAACAATTACAGGTTTCCTTTTTACACTCACTTGGGAGGACGGTTTAATACCTCCCTGGTTGGTTGCTGTTACCAACCTACGTATTATTATTATTTTGTAGGCCAATAATTATTTGTGGATGCATAAATTCGGGGAACTCCTGCACAGATCAAATTTTTTAGATCAAGAAACCCCTTCCCCTAGCATCAAGGTACCTAGGTATCCTCCCTTTAGGGGATTCGATCCTAGAGGGGGCATCTCTAATGCGTGGATCAAGAGCCCCTCGTTTGCAAGGCACCTCTAAGGTAATTTGTATCTTATTTTTTTGAAACGCTAAACCCATAGGGGTCAAGAGCGCTTTAGGAATAATGAGGTCCACCGGGGATTACAATCAGGGAGCGCTAAATCGTAGGGACTAACAGCGCAAGGGTAGGTTAAATTTTTTACAATGAGGGATTAAGCGCTAAACCCATAAGGGTCATACTGCTCCGTCAATTCCTTGAATCAAGAGCTCTTACTATCCCCCGGCATGGGAAGAGTTGTTTGCTAGTCCTGGTGAGCAAGAACTCGCTGGTGCTGACCCGCCAAGTGAAAGCTATATATACAGTTTTATTTTATTAATGGTTTAAAAAACCACAAGTTTAGATTTGGGGTTTTTTTT